GGTTCGTCCGTGTTTGGGTTCAGTTTACGCTTCTATTTCGGCTCTAGTTTCTTTTATATTCGCATACATTCGTTTTGATGTCGATCTTTTAATCCAAGATGGGTGAAACGTAGGTTAATGAATGGCAAAATTAATGGTGTTTTATCACATAATGACGAAACGTTACGATGTGCTAAATGTATCGTGTAATTCAAGTTTGTTTACACGCAGCCAGTGCAAAATTAATATACATTTCTCATAGCGATGATGGTTTTAATATTTGGAAAACATTTCGTGTTTTAGCGAATCGAACATAATTAAACGCATTAAATAGAAATGAATCATGGCTGGTGTTGTAATTCCGTGATTGATTGTATATACGCGCAACGAGCTTAATTAATAACGAATAGTTAATAAATAACGGGATCGAGTAAGCGCGGTCCTATTCTCTTAATACCGGAACACTGTGTTTTCACCGATATCGAAAACCAGGCGTCTATGAAAGCATTAAAATTAATATGAAATTAACATCAAATCCTTTCTCGCGTCCTTCTAAATGACAGTTTGGTGAAAATACCTTGATTCTTGGATATTTTTGACGTTTTGAAGATCTTGTAAGCGCAAAAGACGCACTTCTGACAGAGGACTTTCTTGATTTCGACTCGGGCAGAGAGAAATATTTTCGTCTCAGTTTCCAACCCTCACTTAAATACACGTTAATATCGTTAAAACGATGACATAATGTCTCAAGAGCTAAATCTCGAATATTTCACTCCCGGCTTGGCTATTTCAAATAGTACATTAGGATAAAATCCAAGAGAAACTACCAGCCGCTTTCAAGTTTTAATTAGAAAAATGTATCGCCCCGTCAATTTTTTGTCGTGGCAATGCACTTTTAATCACGGTGCTCGTGCCCCTCACCGAGGTGATACATTCATTACGCCCAGACTATGAATATTTATATCCTTTACACGGATTTTCGTTATCTTCTATGAAGTTGCCGCATAACCGAGGTATCGTCGCGTTATTATGCAATTTCCACTTTACAACAAATCGTCGATTGACTATGATGTCATTGTTTTACATCGAGTTGAATTAAAAACAGAAATTGTTACGTGCAACTATAACCGTTCACGAAAGTAAAATTTTTTTAAACAACGAACGAGGGAAAAATTCGCTTTACAAAACAAGCGCGGAAGAATTTCTCGTTTTCCGCGTTTTTCTCTCTTTTGCCGTTCGGCAAAAAATTTACGCGCCGATGAAATTTAGATCTGCGTCTTTCAATTTTCACGCTTTTAGCGTGGAAAACGCGGCGTTACGTGCGCGGCACCGGTGACCCGGAAAGAATACGAGTTTTTAAATTTTATATTTGTCGAAAAGTGTATAAAGGGAACGGAGACGGACTTTTGTTGTATTTCGGTATGGATACAGTCCTAAGGGCAACCTGTGATAATGTTTCTACGTGTAAGGTAGCCATAAACATAGGCGTAAACGTGTACTCGGGACTCGGGACCATGGTGCAGGTTTTCACATGTATAGGGAGAAAGAGGCGCACAGAAACACAGTGTGACGCATACAGACGGTCCTGTTGCAAAAAGGGAGGAGTTTTGAGACGCCAACGAGGAAGGGACTTCACAAAGTTTCGGATTTTCAACTCGATTTACTCCTTCAGCGAGTGTACTTGCTTTTATGCCAGGCCCTGTTAAAGCTCGATGCTTCGTTTGCTTAGGTTTACACTGTTACATTGAATTTTGAGTGCTCATATTAGCCGCCCGTACTCGCTATTTGACTTCCGCACACGTGTTTACACGCGACTGCGACATTCTAAATCGAATCAACCACTGCACCCCTTTATTTAATTTCCTACTTTCTGTACGTATGGTGACTTATTAATTGGACATCACAGTGTTCCAGATATCAATATTCTATACATTTGAATATAATAACGTTATAGAATTAGTTGTTCATATATATATTAAAACGCTTATTAGCTTAGTAGTTAATAGAACCGTCAATTTTATTTATTATATACACACAGTATTTTGCGCGATAAGTGACAGATTAAATAACGTATTTAAAAAACGACCAATTCGTATGTTTTTAATTCCATATTTGTTCGACTGCTGTAGAAGAGTTTCAGCCATTTTTTTTTTTTTTATGTATATTCTGTATTCTCAGTTGTTCATTTTTTGGACTCCTTTGACACGGACATTTTGATTGAATTTTTTAAAATTTCTATTGACGAGTTTTGTTACACTGTTATATTATTTTAAATACTATTTAACACATGTAGGCTATATTATTTATCACAGTCGTGTAACGACATTTTGTTCGGAAATACGTGCATCTTCATTTTTAGGATATTTATATATGAAATCATTTTTTCTTTTTTCCTAGTAGAAAATAATTGTTGGTTTTCTCAGTTTGGAAAAACTCTCCACGAAGAGAGGATCGAATTAAATACGTGAAATTCGCAAGAAACAAAAATACACACTCTCTCTCCGAAATCGAACCTGGGCCAATTTATTCGAAGACAAGTACCCTGTACAAGACACGACCGTAGTTCCTTGTCATTGGTTTTATTATCCTGATATTATTCCGAATATAGTACTGCAAGAACATTAATTCACGTTAATTTGGACTCGCCGATGTAGCACATTATCGTAAACTGCAATAAATGGTTATCCAATACTCAAAATTTCACAAGTCACTCTTCTAAATATCGTACTTTACAGAAACTGATAAAATTATAAAAGTACGTTATTTTATATATAAAATCTAGTTGCTAATCGTAAGTAATAGAAAAATTCACTGATATTTAGTAGAAACTGAGCCCATTCGTTGTTCTTATCTTCTATTAGGTTCAGTAATAAGTTCATTCAATTTTCTTAAATAAGTAGATACACAAATGAATTGTCAAAAAATAACTCAGACTCAAACTCAATAAAAATTTCAATATCGTTAATTGACGACGACGCTGTCTCATTAAATTTTTGTTTCGTCTATCGATGACAATCATATTTAAAGGATTCCACTTTTATCCCCATTCAAGTATGTTAAGCTTGTTAGTAGCACTCGGTGTCTAAAAATTCCTTAAAAATTACCTAGGCTTGTCAACGAGCCACTCTGGCCAGGAGCAACGTCACCTCGTAAAAACCGTGGAAATGATACGAGGGCGCATAAAGTACCGCAGTGGTCGAGCGAGCCGGCATATTGGAAACCATCCAATAACCCACTTGGCTTGCTGTATCGTTGCCACGAGAGAGGTAACAAACGCAAAAAAGAGGGACAAGCAGAGGTGTAGAGGGGCAGGAAAAGGAGTATGAAATAGAAGCAAACAGAAAGATATGCGAAATAAAAAAAAAGAAGAGTAACAGAGCGAGAGGAGGAGAGGGGGAATAGAATAAACAAAGAGCAAGGCGAGAAAGAAAAAGAGAGTCCCGCGGCGTAAAACGAGAAATTACAAGGGATGTGGAGGAACGATAGGCCGCGAGAAAAAAAAATGACAGAAAGGGATAAGTCGTCGCGATGAAATTCAATGGCCGCAAATTTTCTCGAGAATTTATTACAGAATTTATCACGCTTTCGGCGAGTTCAGAGTTCCAACGAAACGTGGAACACGGACGAATCGGTCATGCTTTTCGCCAGCGATTTCGATATTCAAATGGTCGCGCGTGTAATTATGTTACACGTTATTGAAATTTCGTTACGCGTCGTCCGTGCGTCCGTAAAGGAGGAGCAAGAGAGAGAGGAGCTTTAAAATTGATGTAATCGAATAACACGCGCGAGAAACGTCCACGTGACTCGAATCCCGATGCTGTGTGCCATCTGCTCGTGACAACTGACGCTGCATTGTATTAAAAAATATTGCAGGTTGCTCTTGTGGACGCTCGTGCTACGTTAATCGAAAATGAAAAAACATGCCGGCGAAAATATGTGACGAACGAGAATATTTTGGTCAAATATCTTTGGGCGCTTTAATTTCGATTATTCATCCAGTAACTGTTTGCAGTATTTTTCAGCGGAATTTTTAACCTCCCCAGAGACGAGAATAGTTCCCAACTATCTATCGATCTATTTGACCGGCACTCACGATGAATCCTCGCGAACAGGTCAGTATATATACAGCTTAATATCGTCGCGATATTTCGTTGGGGAAAACCGGTCGAAAATGCCGGCCAGACTATGGTGAATCGATTCACCTCTGCATTTTAATTTCACTGGCAGGATCTTGGTTAAGAAAGAAAGGAAATCGTCTAGTGGCTCTTTCACCACCGACCAACCGGAATTCGCCTCTTTTTTCCTCCGTCCGCCGACTAGAAGATTCAGGAATAAGCGCGAAGTGCTTTCATTAGAGTCAGCGCGTGAATTTCTCGTTGGATGCGTCCGGTTCGAAGCTCAATCCCCTGTTGGTTATCGTACACTGTACCTTTTTCCATAATACATTTTTTTCTTCGTTTCCCTTCTCTTTTTCTCTCTTCTTTCTTTTTCTTTTTTTTTTTTTAGTACGCTTAAATATATGAAAAATGCGAGAAAAAATTCCGAGGAAAATGAACCGCAAACGTTTGAAAGTAGTCCGAGTTGAAATATCCACGGTAATCAGCGAATGGATAATTGAATTACGGCAATGAGTTGCCACGGTAACAAAAATTGTTCACCTTTAAACTAAATGAAAGCTGAGAGATTGTTTTTTATCCCTTACTGTGAGGAATATTTCGCCGAGCGACAATGTATGTAATTTCGAGCAAACGCGAGGACCGCGCGATTATTATTTTCTTTTACTTTGACATCGAGAACCGCGCAGTTCTGACAATTTCCGCATAATGAACCGGGCTCTTCAAAAATGCTGAAAATCAAATGCCAGACGCTCCCGTTTTATTTTACAGCTATTTCGCTTAATGTTCACATTCAAGCGCGTTTCGTTTTAACAGATTACCTCTGTACTATTAACGATCGTGCCTGTTCGCTCGCGATGCCTCTTTTCCACTAAAAAAATTCTAACAAACTCGTTGCCCACTTACCCTCAAGGGTTCCGCTGTAGGCGTGCAATGGATCGAACGCAATTTGTCGACCATTCGATCCCTCGAAGACCACGTTTTCATCGAATAAGCTCGTATCCCTCGTAAGCCTCATCTTAAAGACCCTGGAACAGAGAGAAGGTCAGATTACACATAATTGAGGAATAAAAGTTAATTTTCTTTCATCTGGTACCAATTTCTGGTAATTTATACTCATACGTGTAGCAATCAAGTTTGTCTATTATTACATGAGCAAGTAGATTATCTAATTATTTCAATCTAAAATTTCATCATAACCTAATAAAACTTTCTTATATGACAGAAAATAGATTACATGTAGAACTCGCATAAATTATGTGTTCGTTGTATAATAATTTCTACATAAATGCATGAACAATCGATTATTAGATATTAGCGCGCAATACATTCCGCGCAACTTACCGCTTCGTTGAAAGATTTATATACAGCATACACAATGTCTCTACATCTTTGCCAAGTAAAAAATAATGTTTTCACGTAATAATCGAATAAACTATACGCTGTATGTAGTTCAAAATGGATACCACGATCGGCGATAAATGCTTCAATTCAAAATAAACGACATAAAAATAATTTAAACGAATAGATATTCGATCATATTTCTCGTTCGGTAACAAACGTTCATCGACATATGATGTTTTCACGAAATCGCGATACACCGATATTGTAAATGTAATTCAACTCGATTTACTAGATTCGGAACGATGAATTACAAACGCAATATTGGTTTTGCAAGGAGAGGGCAGAGTAAAATATATAACGTAGCAATAATAGATATAATAATAGTCTTTTTTTGCTGGCTACGAATTGACTTTGCGCACAGCACTCGATCGGTCAGCTTTTCATCAACTAGTTGATTCTCAGTCGATTCCCAATTATTCTGATTAATCCCATTTCTCCCATTCTTACTTCTTCGAAAATAAATCAGGAAAAAGAAATGTAACAACGATTTCACAAAAATCAGGTTTTTCTCGTACTTCGTTAAAAAATTTCCATTCAATTTATATCAGGTCGTTCCGTAAGTAATTTCGTTCCCTGCTTTACATTCTGAATTTTAATAACTTTTTGAAAAGTTAAATTCAAAGATTATCAAACAATTGAAAGACTTCCTTATACAACAATTTTTACCAACTAATAGTATTAGTAAATTGACTAGTTACAAGTAATATTTTATGAAATAGGATATTAAGGGAACATGTAATTTGTTTGATTAATAAACCTGTTACCATTCTGGAAAGGTATTTATTAGTATTGGTAACTTGTAAAATTTCACTAATAATATTAATTCAATAGCGCAAGGAGCCTAAGATAATACATTATCCTTCAATGAAAGAAGTAAACTTCATTCGTTTAAAATTACACATATTCACAGACATTTGTGCCTTAAGTTTAAGTTAGATATGTAAATTACTTATGGAATGATCGCGTATCTCCGAGTTTCGTACCAAAGCTTCTAGGCATTTAGACTGAGAAACACTGCGACAAGGGGAACTAAACTTCACGGGACAGGTGTGTCACATAATAATCGCGCGATGTAACGCAACGAGGGCCACATATTACGTTGCAACCAGTCCCTTACGTGTTCGAGCTAGTCGTGCGCGAGGTTTACACGCGACCATGCTCTCGTACAATCGATAATCCGATCGGGAGGGGTCGATGTTTTCACCTAATTATTGTCTAAGCCCACGATAGTCTATCGATCGAGGTCCGCTCTCCTTTCATAGTTAACGTTCCGCTGATTTCAATCATTCATCATGGAGAAAGCTGGCCCGCGTTTGTGCACGCGGATGTCACCGTGATAATGTACCTAATGAGACATTGAAAGCAACGCGTGCAGGATTAATTCGCGCTGATGAAGTGGTTATCGACTGTCGAACGCTTTTCCCCTGTGTGCACGGCTTTATCTCCTACGCGGGGCGGAAAGATTGATGAAACCTGGTAATTTCATGATCGCACGTAGTCGTCGATGAATTCATCGAACACGACAGGCTTTGTTTCTCACGTTAAAGAAAGTTAAGGTAAAATAGCGTTATTTCAATCTCACATTTGAGTCAGGCCAAGTAATTCAGCTTGTAATTCTATGAATATTTATTAAGCGACCTACATTTGAAAACCGACTGTTTGACTCGTTGGTAGAGACGTGATAAAAAGCAAGATACATCCTTAATATCCTTTCGTTATTACATTAAAAACGACCGATGTCTACTATACAACAAGTTTGATTATTCCGTGCAAAGTTCGAGATTGAATTTTTAAATATCGAAGCTTACATGATTGGAATAATTCTTTCCTATGACAATCTTACTATAACTATATATACTATATTACTATATACATACTACGCATATACTATATACGATGGAAATGAGAAAAATATCGTTTTTAAGATAACGAACGGGGGTGTCCCTTTTAACCGAAGACGTAATTTCTGGATCGAGGACCAAGCCCTTGTGGTTTTCGTTCGAGTTCAGAGGAGCTGCTCTATTCTGAAAAGTTTCTCTGTTTGACCTGGATCGCGTGTAAGAAGATAAACTTCGATCTGACTTCTCGGGAAAACAATGTAAACTCGTAAAGTCGAAAGGTAACGGAGGAAGAAAGCGGGAAACGAAGAACGGAAGTATTATATGTAAATGCGCAACGATTCGTGAGAGAGTTCATTTTTAACCAATTTATGCAGCAAGTTAATAGCTGATTGTTTTGTATGCGAAATAACGTAAATTGAAGCGCGCTCGACCGTCATACTTTTAGCAACTAATATCAGGATGTCAGAGGGTAGCTAATGCAACCAAATTGGTAATGTTATCGTGTACTACAGGGAGCATTAATTAAATTACAGCGACACGTTAATTACCATATCGCTGTACCAATAATCATTTCACACGATGTAACGCGTGATTTAGATACGGTCTGCCTCGCTGGTAAGCGCGGATATGCGCGTAAAAAATTTTGACATCGTCCTTAATGCTCTTCGCGGTAAATTGTTATGCAGCCAACGAAGACGATAATGTTCGTTACTCTATATGTAAACCCCGTTAAAAGCGTGTAATAGTAGGAAAAAAGAATCATACATATTTATACGAGCGAACGTCGAAGATTTAACATTCCTGCAAATGCGTAATACATATAAATGCCCATTATGCGAAAGTAATTACGGAATTGGTAGGTTGAAAATTTACATTCAGAGGGAGCGACGAATTCGAATGGCTGGGATTTAATGAATTTCCATAATGGACCGAGGCCGAGACGCAAGGAGAAGCTTTAGCTGGATGGAAAAACTGCTTGAAACATGCGCAGCCCCGCTGTTTCTTCAAGAAATACCGCTCGCCTTTGGAACCTCGTTTCTTCCTTGGAAAAATAGTTTTTTTCAAGCCAATAACGTTTAAGCGGAACGAGCAACACTGATTTACACGATTGAAAAGCTAATTCGAGACTCATCCTATTAAAGAAACGATGAAATAGTCGGAACGAATGTAACTGTTCAAACAACGTTCCCGATTGGTTGAATTTTCACGTATACGAACTGACCATCGTGCCAGAGTAACTCATTAGCCAACAATTTTAGTTAAAATGAGTTAACTAGTTCGTTGTGCTCGCACAAGTGACTTGGCTATGAAACAAATCTCGTTAAAATAATTTGTGCCAGTCATTAACCAAATACCAGCCATCACTTAGCTTACAATTAGACAACAAATTCTAGCAGTTGAACGAGCACAAAAACTGGAATATTTAGTAGCGAATGGAAAACGAACCAACCAATCAATGGATTAAATCTTTTTTTTAAATAAAACTATCCTACGGTCGTTGAGAAGCGATCTCTTCAACGCGTCGTCGCTTCGAAACGCAATTGCCCAACAATTGTTTCGCGACGAAAGAAAAGGCAGCATAATATCCTCTTTTCTGTGTAATAACGAGAACCGCAAAAAAGAAGCAGGGAATAAGGAAGCGGATTACAACGTTCTATAACGTGCGTAAACGATTCACTGTGCCGCTATGTGCCGCGCGCTAACTCTCATAGAAGTTACTCAACAGTAATCATATTGCATAAACGTTAATGTAACGCGAAAACTGCTGTTCGGAAAGCAGAGTATTGGAAGCCGTAAACAATTTTACCGCGCCATTTATTTCATGATCGAGACTCAATTTCTTTCGCTGAGTCGGTTTTAAATATATAGAATGAGGGTAAAATGGATATTAGAATCAAACATTAATTTCGTTTATTCTCTTGAGACACATTTGAGGTTTGATTCGAAGTACGGAAAGCACAGAACTGAGATTGAGAGTTTCGAAGATACGTTTTGATTGAAGAAGAAGAATTTGATTGAAGATTGATTTTATCCCAAAAATAATAAATTAATAATAAAAGTAGGAACTAAGTTAGGTATTAATTCTGAAGGATTTCTTCCCTCTTTTCTTTTTCTTCCATTCCTTCCTTTATTTCCCTTTCCTTCGTCCTTATTTTTTTTCTTCCTCCCTTACTTCATTCGTTTCTTCTTCCCTCTTTCTTTCCTTTCCCCTTCTTTTTCTTTCACATATGTATGTATAGTGCAGAGCTGGGAAGATGACTACCGCAACGACCCAGAGATAAGAGAGGTACCGCTCCCTTATCACTCACAGTCGCGCGTCTTTATATTGTTTTATTTATATATGTGATAATACGCGTGCTTATCTTTATGATTACGTTAGGCCTATCAGAAGTGATCAATCAGATCTGTACTCCTTACGCTAGTTATTTTTCCAACTCTGCACAATACATTTTCGCCACTTTCTTCAACTTTTTAAAAACATCGATTGTCATAACAATATACCATTACATTGGTTTTTTGCCAAACTTCGTACATTTATCTATCATAGTTATTTTTACAATGCTGGCATCATGAATTTAACGAATTTTCTTCCCTACTATAAGTACAATAAAATACTTCCTTTTAGCCATCAAGCAATATAAAAATTAGGAAATCGATAAAAAATAGATTGAATCGTGCTTTGTGCCTGTGATTTTCATGTGGAGATGAATGGAATATTGTTCACAAACGTATTTCAGCAATGCACAATTTCAAAATTGTGAAATTGGTAAAGTTCTATGCAA